ATCTATGACTCTCATCCCATTTCGCTACAAAACTCTTTTTTTTTTTCTTTCTATCTTCCTATAGTCAGATCGTCATTTGTTTTCAGTTTTCTCTGCCGGACCGGACAGAGAAACAATATTAGAAGATACAGCCAAAAAATCTTCGAACCTTAAGGTAAATTTCTTTTAATTGTTCTTCAGATTTGATGCAGAAAATATTAGGAGCAAGTGGTGAAATGTGGTGGAACCCACAGTTTGTATGCTTTCCACCTCTGAGAACGAAATAGACATGCATGTTTATTATTATTAATCCTTCACCTTCCTTTTGGTTGTGGGGGCCTTGACTTCATCTTCATGATAACGCCGTTTGCTTAATTTTCATCCTCTTAAAAACCAAGAAAATTCCGATAAAAGTTCATTCTTCTACTATTTATTTATTTCTCTAGTTTCTGGTATTTTAGGTCTGCCTTATAATAAAGTATGTGTTTCATTTGGAGCCCTAAGGACTCTTGATGCACAAGGAAGCGGCCAAGGGTTGTGGCCTTAAAACAATTCATATTAATTTCTTGTGATAATTGTTAGTTGGAGAAGTATTTCTTGTGATAAATGGATTGATGAAGAGAACTAATTTCCATCTCAATGAATTGATTTTTGGATCATGTCGTTTTTGTTTACTTACATCCCATCTAAAAGTTGAAGGTTGTTACTTGTTTCTCTGTATTTGTTGAGCTCCTTTTAGTTTTTGATGTTTCACTTTCTGTGGTTAATCTCGTGCAATTTATTTTTTTAGTCTTGATTACAAAATGTTGTTGTGTCCTTGTTATTTTGCCACCTAAGTCCTAATTTCAAAAATAAAAAGATTTCTTGTGCTAGAAGGAATTGATCAAGAGTACTAGATTCCAGTTTGTTCTCAATGCTTTGATTCAAGGATCATGTTGTTTATTGTTTACTTGCATGTCAAGTTAAAAGATTGCTACAATGTTTGTTTGTCCACAATAAATGGAATTTGTTTTATCAAAAAAAAAAAAAATTGAATTTGTTTCTTTCCCTTCTCTCAGTGTTTTTTAGCCTTTCCTGCTTCTCTTTCTGTGGTTCATCTCTTGCAATTTAAATCACAAGAAGACGAAAATGTTGCAAATGGAGGAGGCGAAAGCAGGTAACCAAAAGCTTCTTACAATGCTCACTGGTCTAAGATTCTGAGGCATTGCTTTCAATTTTTTTATGTTTCTGCAGAGGTGGAGAAGAAGTTTTCTACACTCTTGAAGTATGTCCAAAACAAAAACAAGATCCCAAAGGTTACCAAGAAGGAGCTTGTTGGGATAGTCAACGATCTTCACGAGCAGTGTCAGTTTCTTTACTCTGTGTATCATGATTTTGGGAGGAACAGAAAATTGGCTGATGCTTCTTCATCGAGGTCTAGTTCGGATTTGGATTACTTTTCTTCAGAAGAAATAGATATCAGCGGCGGTAATGTTAGTGAAACATTGAACTCTGACTATGCGGTGTTGCTCAGAAAGGTACAAGAGACAGAGTTAACAAATGAAGAGCTGAAGAGACAGGTGAGCAGTCTGAAACAGGAAGTGGAACAGGCGGGTAATGTCATAGGCAAGAGAAACGAGGACAGAGACCATTTAAAGGACTTGATGACCAAAGGTGAAGTTGCATTGTTGTGTAACCAGAAGGGTGAGTTAGAATCGCAGCTGGAGAAGAAAACCAAGGAAGTTTTGGAGATACAGATGAGAGTAAAGCGTTTGGAGGGAGAAAAAGAGGAGCAGGCTAAGGCCAAGCAGAAGATTGTTGAAGAAAAGAAAGTTTTGTGGAACAAAGTTCAGAAACTTGAAATGGGCATGGATACTTTCCAAAAACAGAGAAAAGAGATGAGTGAGGATTTGAAGAGTAAGATCTCTGAGATTGACCATCTTAAGGAAGAGAATCACAAGATGCATGCAAGAATAGTGGAGCTTGATTCACTACAGAATGAGAGACAGATGAAAAATACTGATGAAAAGAGTAAGAAACACGAAGATATCATTCACCGGTAAGAAACAAAAAAAAAAAAACAATAAAGATTGTTTATCTATGAAGGTAGCTTGACAAAAAAATGAAGTTTTATGTTTACCACTGAGTTTTGATTGACTTGCAGGCTATCAATGGAGATCAAGGAACAAAAGAAACTTGTTAAAGAACATAAAGACACCATTGACAAGCTCTCAGAAGAACAAAAGTTAATGAAACGTTGGTCATTTGGCTCTAAACTGAACACCAATCTTCTCGAGAAGAAAATGGAAGAATTATCTGAAGATTTCCAGATGAAAATGGAAGATCGTATCCGGATACTGTACAGGAGGATCCATGTAGCCGAACAAATACACTTGGAGAGCAAGAAAAACTATACACAAACACAAGGAAAAAGAGGAGATCTCGCTGTCTCTGAAACCCATTTCAAGAAAATCAAAGATATAGTGGAGAAAGGGCTTGCTGGACCAGAGATGGTAGTAAAGAAGCTTGAAGAAGGCGAGGACTTAACGACCCGAGTCACAAGATTAGCCAAAGATGTTGATTTAGCTAGAAAGTGGGTGCGTGAGAAGAACAGCAAGATGAAGCATGAGGTGGAAACTCTGGAAGCGAAGCTAGAGTGCAGTGAAGCACAAGAAACTCTGCTAAAGGAGAAGCTCTCGAAACTAGAGGGGAAGCTTGGAGCGGAAGGAACAGGGAAGATGAGTGTAGAAAAGGCTATGAGAAGAATCAAAAAGCTCGAGATTAATGTGAAGGAGAGAGATGTTGAGTTGATGTGTTTGGGGGAAGAGAAGAGAGAAGCCATAAGACAACTATGTGTTTTGGTTGATTATCAACGTTGTCGATATGATGATCTCAAAACATCCATTTGTAAGGTTGCCCTTCAAGCATAAACTTCTTTGTTTTGGGTCTCTAACGTTGTATATATTATATCTCTATAAAAACATTGTACATATTAATGTCGCAAGATTTGAGTATTTTCCACTGATGTAAATGAATGTTTTTGTAAATAAACATATTATGACCTAATAATCTTTTCATTTGTTATGTTTGACATGCTGCATGCATCTATTTTTTGTTTCTTTTTGTTAGAAGCGGACATTTACACGTTTTAAATGATAAAGTTATGTTAATTCGAGTGATTTCCTACTGCGATTTCAACCGTTCTGAACATAACTTAATGTAGAGAATATTCAAATTTCTTGTGCAAACAAGAATTAAAAATTTGTAAAAGATTAGCTTATGTTTTGGTCCTGGTTCCTAAATCCCTTAGTTTAAAAAGAACCATAAAACAAGTTCTCTAAATTAATGAATCCTCCAATTTAAAAAATAAACCAAAAAGACTATATAAGTAATTTTCTTGGATTCTTTGTTAATGAATCAAAGCTTGAGAATATGGGAACCCTATTTGTAGGATCAAATCAGAAAATAGTGTCAAGATAAAAGAGATATAGATTTGAATTAAATTCTTAGATCAAAAGAAAAGAAATAAATCCATGAAAACATGCTCTCTTTCTTAATTAGGATTTTTAATTTGTAAGAGTTAATATTTAGGATTTTAATGTGGGATCACTGTTGATTGTTTTATTAATTAGTACTAGTAGTTAGGACTGTGGATTTGAAAAAATGTAAATGAGGGCATATTTGTTTGATTCTCAAAGAAAAGGCGGGAAACGCGCTTGTGGTGAGGAGGCGGAATGAGCCAAAAAAAATCAATGGCAGAAGCGTAAATAAAATGTACAACAGTCAAATGATATTTTGACCGCCATGACGACGAGAAGCAAAGAAATCGCGACAATGGCAGAAGCGTAATAATCTGATAAAGAAAGGAGCGTTTGTGGAAGACAAATTTCACAAAAAGAAAAAGATTCTCTATCTCTCTCGCTCTCATTCGTCTTCTCAAAAATTGAAAAAACAAATTTATGTGCTCATAACTGCTCTCCCACATAAGTCCAAACGAAACCACTTTATTCTTTTCCTTCTTCAAATCTCTCTCCCTCGCTTCGATTTTTCAATTTCGTAATCTTATCATCGTTGAAACACACAGAGATAGATAGATAGAGAGAGAGAGAGAGAGAGTTTCTCCTCCTCTCTTTCGTTTCTTCTACAAGTTTCCTTTGATCTCTTTTCTCCGGAGCTTCCGTATCCAGGTAACAATTCTCGGTTACGATCGGCTTAGAAATGATTTGGTAGCTTAGCTTTCTCCGCGTGATTTAGATTTTTGTTGTTCTAAGCAAGTATTTAGGTTACTTTGTTTTTCTTCGTCGATGATGATCGGTTTTACTGTTTTAGTTCATACCTTAGGTAACAGTCCCTTTGATTTAGTTCCTTTTTCTTATTTGCAGTTAATCGATCATACAGAGGTTATCGCTGATCTCGCAGTTTCGGTAAAGAAGCGATACGGTTTAATAAGGTAAATCACTGTCATGAGCTTCCCTTTTCACACTTTCTTGTTTTTTTTTTTTTTGGCATTTGTATACTATTCACACTCTCTGCTTCTGATTTTGAGATCAATTCATCTTTGATTTAGATTTTTCATTAAGCTGCTTCCACTAACTGCTTTGAATCCTCACATGAATCTGTTTCTCCTATCCATACAGGCTAAACACATAAAGTCCGATTCTGGTTCTTCCCTGGAGAGCTCTAAGGAAAAGGGGTAAGAGAAACTAGAAACTCCTCCCGATATTTACCGTTTTGCTAGCAGTAACTTCCTTTTAATAGTATACTAGTATATACTTATTTAAGATCGGATCGAGATTGTTTTTAGTTGAAACTGTATTATTTATGTAGTTTGTTAAAAAGGGTAACATAAGAACAAAAAGTAACAACTCATATTTTCTGAGCTATCATAGCTGTCTTTTATCGTTCTAGACGTTTGTGCTTTTCTAAACTTGCTGAGGTGGCTCCACATGATGTTTCTTGTCTCACCCAATACCATAAGTTACCAACTTAGACCCGGCACTGTAAAGGGATTAGCGTTAATCCAACTTGTTAAATTCTTAGTATTAATTTGTATTTACACATCTTCTGTATAAGTAAAAAACCTTATCACTTGGTAAGAAGTCAGAACTAGTAAAGAAATACCAAATGATTCAAGATTCTGATACATGATGATCTACCGATGTTCTTGCGGGACCCACAAGTTACATTATTGCCTGTATACCTTGTCAGAGTTGTATATTATTATATTCTCTCTCTGCTGAAACCAAGATGCGAACCTATGCAGCCAATTTTATTATTAGTTTAGCAATGTGTTAGTAGTATTATAAGTATATATTTTCGGGCATGAATGTGAAAAGGATGGATTCATTTTTCTTATTAATTAAGGCATTTAATTTGAACAACTTTGTTCTGCTAATCTTAACGTTTCTTCTGATATGTTTCTGTGTATTATGCAAATACAGATGGAGTTTCACTGAGGAATGGATATTGGATTCGTAAAACCTCTTATTGTTAAGTTGAACAAGTAACTGAAGAAACCGAAGGAAAAGATATGAGAAAGCATCGGTTTAGAGAGACCTTGAAGTCTTTCTTTGAGCCTCATTTTGATCATGAGAAAGGCGAAATGCTTAAAGGAACAAAATCTGGTAATTTCTGTACAATACTAAGCTTTGTTGCACATGTCCAATCAAATCCGTAGCTCTTGATTTAATAAATACTTACGTGAAAAGTATTTCCATCATCTGATGCAGAAATAGATGAAAAGGTGAAGAAAATCTTGGGAATGGTTGAAAGTGGAGACATCGATGAAGATAAATCTAAAAGACAAGTGGTTTCAGAGTTAGTGAATGAATTCTACAACGAGTACCAGTCTTTATATCGCCAGTACGATGATCTAACGGGAGAGATTAGGAAAAAGGTTCACGAGAAAGGAGAAAACTCCTCTTCATCAAGCTCAGACTCGGATTCTGACCATTCTTCCAAGAAGAAGACCAAGAAAAATGGAAATGTAGAGAAAGACGTCGATTCGGTAACAGATGGATTTAAGCAGCAAACGGAAGCTGCGAATGCTGAAATTGCTGATCTGAAAAATAAGTTGACGGCGAGTGCTGAAGAAAAAGAGGCAGTAGATTCTGAGCTTGGAGCAGCTTTGGTGAAGTTAAAAGAATCAGAAGATATCATCAGCAATTTGAAACTTGAAACTGAGAAGTTAGAGGGCGAAAAGACAACAGCTCTGAGTGATAGCAGAGAACTACTTCAGAAACTGGAAGTTGCTGGCAGAACAGAAACTGATCTGAACCAGAAGTTAGAAGATATGAAAAAGGAGAGAGATCAACTGCAAACTGAGATAGACAATGGTCTCAAAAGATTTCAAGAAGCTGAAAAAGTTGCAGAAGACTGGAAAACGACGAGTGATCAGCTCAAAGATGAAGCTGCTAATTTCAAGCAGCAGCTAGAAGCAGCAGAAGAGCAAGTTTCTGATCTGACCCGCGGAATGAATAGTGCAGAAGAAGAGAACAAATCTTTATCCCAGAAAGTTACCGAGATTTCAGGTGAGATCCAACATGCACAGAACACCATACAAGAACTCACTTCCGAACTGGGAGAGATGAAAGAAAAATACAAGGAAAAGGAGAGTGAGCACTCTAGTTTGGTGGAGTTACATGAGACCCATGAGAAAGAATCATCTAGTCAAGTGAAAGAATTAGAAGCACGAGTAGAATCATCAGAGAAGTTGATTGCAGATTTGAACCGAAACCTTAATAATGCAGAGGAAGAGAAGAAACTGCTATCTCAAAGAATCTCAGAAATCTCTAACGAGATTCAAGAGACGCAGAACACCATACAAGAACTTATGTCTGAGTCTGAACAGTTGAAAGAGAGCCACAGTGTGAAGGAGAGAGAAATTTTCGATTTGAAGGACATCCATGAGACTCATCAGAGAGATTCATCCACCCGAATGAGTGAGTTAGAAGCTCAACTGGAATCCTCAGAGAAGCAGACCTCAAATTTGAGTACAAGTCTAAAGGCTGCAGAGGAAGAAAACAAAGCTATCTCCTCGAAAAATGTGGAAACTCTAGAGAAGCTAGAGGAGGCGCAGAAGACGATAAATGAACTCATGGCTGAGTTGGGAGAGTTGAAAGACCGACATAAAGAGAAAGAGAGTGAGCTTTCAAGTTTGGTGGAGGTACACGAAGTACATCAGAGAGATTCAACAAGTCGAGTGAAAGAATTAGTACAAGTGGTGGAATCAGCAGAGCAACAGGTTGCAGATATGAAACAGAGTTTAAACAATGCAGAGGAAGAGAAAAAACTGCTCTCCCAGAAAATCTCAGATATCTCTACCGAGATTCAAGAGGCACAAAACACCATACAAGAACTCAAGTCCGAGTCTGGACAATTGAAAGAGAGCCACGGTGAGAAAGAGAGGGAACTTTCTGGTTTGAGGGACATCCACGAGACTCATCAAAGAGAATCAACCACCCAAGTGAGTAAATTAGAAGCTCAACTGGAATCCTCAGAGAAGCGGGTCTCAGATTTGAGTTCGAGTCTGAAGGATGCAGAGGAAGAAAACAAAGCTATTTCCTCAGAAATTTTGGAAACTACAGACAAGCTCGAGCAGGCACAGAACACCATTGAAAAACTAATCACTGAATTGGGAGAGATGAAAGAAAGATACAAGGAAAAGGAAAGTGAGCATTCTAGTTTGGTGGAGTTACATGAGACCCAAATTAGAGAATCAGCGAGTCATGTGAAAGAATTAGAAGCGAAAGTGGAATCATCAGAGAAATTGGTTGCAGATTTGAACCAAAGCTTGAACAATGCAGAGGAAGAGAAAAGGCTGTTATCTCAGAAAATATCAGAAATCTCTAAAGAGATTCAAGAGGCGAAGACCACCATACAAGAGCTAGTGTCTGAGTCTGAACAGTTGAAAGAGAGCCACAGTGTGAAAGAAAGAGAATTCTCGGGTTTAAGGGACATACATGAGACTCATCAGAGAGAATCATCCACTCGCACGAGTGAATTAGAAGCTCAGCTGAAATCATCAGAACAGCGGGTCTCAGAGTTGA